TCGAGAACAAAAATTCTGTTGAGATAAATTAGCTCGACGCTCCTTCTCCTTTTTCTAGTCGTCCCCTGTTCTCCCACCCTGCGCAACCAAAAAAAATGTCTGCACCCGAACCAGAAAGCTTTGGCTTCCAGGCCGAGATCTCTCAGTTGCTCGACTTGATCATCAGTAAGTCGTGTTATCTTTTTATGATTATCGACGCGACACCTAACCCGCCTTAACCTCAGATACCTTCTACTCCAACAAAGAAATTTTCCTCCGTGAACTCATCTCCAATGGTTCCGATGCTCTTGACAAAATTCGCTACGCCTCCCTCACTGATCCCTCCGTTCTCGAATCCGAGAAGGAGCTCTTCATCCGCATAACTCCAGAAAATGATAATAAGATCCTCTCCATCCGCGACAGTGGCATCGGCATGACCAAGGCTGACATGGTGAATAACCTTGGTACCATCGCCAAGTCCGGGACAAAGGTATTTCAGCCCACTATCCACGTCTGGCTTGTCATCCTGACCCCTCTCATCGTAGGGCTTCATGGAAGCGCTCAGCTCTGGCGCTGATATCTCCATGATTGGCCAGTTTGGTGTCGGTTTCTATTCCGCCTACCTTGTGGCTGAGCGAGTTCAAGTCATCTCAAAACACAATGACGATGAGCAGTACATCTGGGAGTCTGCCGCGGGTGGCACTTTCACTATTACTCTTGACACCGTGAACCCACCGCTCGGTCGCGGTACTGAGGTTCGCCTATACTTGAAGGAGGATCAGACGGAGTATTACGAAGAGAAGCGTATCAAGGATGTCGTTAAGAAGCACTCTGAATTCATCTCCTATCCTATCCAACTTGTCGTCACTAAGGAAGTCGAAAAGGTTTGTGGTCCCTACTACCGGATATCAGTCGTTCCTGATCACGTGCTGCAGGAGGTCGAGGATGACGAGGAAGAAGAGGTCAAAGAAGGGGAAGATGAAGAGGGAAAGGCCAAGGTTGAGGAGGTCGAAGACGACGATGAGGACAAGGCCAAGGACAAAAAGAAAACGAAGAAGGTTAAGGAGCAGAGTAAGGTCAATGAAGAGCTCAACAAGACGAAGCCTATCTGGACGCGTAACCCGGGCGAGATTACGCAGGAAGAGTATGGGGCCTTCTACAAGTCGCTTACCAACGACTGGGAGGATCATCTTGCTGTCAGGCACTTCTCCGTCGAGGGTCAGCTTGAGTTCAAGGCTATCCTTTATGTGCCGAAGCGGTACGTCACCGCTATTGCATTGCACGCGCTTCATTCCTGACCTTGTGTTAGTGCACCGTTCGATCTCTTCGAGAGCAAGAAAAAGCGTAACAACATCAAACTCTACGTCCGCCGTGTCTTCATCATGGACGACTGTGAGGACCTCATTCCGGAGTACCTCAACTTCGTCAAGGGTATCGTCGATTCGGAAGACTTGCCCCTCAACATCTCGCGTGAGACACTTCAGCAGAATAAGATCCTCAAAGTTATCCGCAAGCACATTGTCAAGAAGTGCATGGATCTGTTCTCGGAGATCGCTGAAGACAAAGACAACTTCCAGAAGTTCTACGAGGCATTTGGCAAGAACATCAAACTCGGTATTCATGAGGATGCCCAGAACCGCAGCAAACTTGCTGAATTCCTGCGTTTCCATTCGACGAGGGCTGTTGATGATCAGATCACCCTCAAAGGTTTGTATCCCATCCCGCACGCGCCTTGCTCCTGCTCATGACGAATCTCTAGACTATATCACACGCATGCCTTCGGGACAGAAGGCAATCTACTACCTCACGGGTGAATCCCTTGCCGCCATCAAGGACTCTCCTTTCCTGGAAGTCCTCAAGAAAAGAGGTTTCGAGGTTCTGCTACTCGTGGATCCCATCGATGAGTATGCGGTGTCGCAATTGAAGGAGTTTGATGGCCACAAGCTTGAGTCTGTCTCGAAGGAAGGTCTCGAGCTCGAGGAGACAGACGAGGAGAAGAAAGCCCGCGAGGAAGAGGCCAAGTCGTACGAGGACTTGTGCAAAGTTATCAAGGATGCGCTTGGGGACAAGGTTGAGAAGGTCGTTGTATCGAACCGTATCTCCGACTCGCCTTGCGTCTTGGTCACTGGCCAGTTTGGTTGGTCATCGAATATGGTGGGTTCTCCTTTTGGAATGCGGATCAGAAGACCAGAAGTTGATAATCCATGCTGTCATTAGGAGCGTATTATGAAGGCTCAGGCTCTTCGTGACACGTCGATGTCGTCTTACATGGCCTCAAAGAAGACCCTTGAGCTCAACCCCAAGCACCCAATTGTTAAGGAGCTCAGGCGAAAAGTCTCTGAAGACAAGGCTGACAAGTCGGTCCGGGATTTGACGTATCTCCTGTTCGAGACGGCTCTCCTCACTTCTGGCTTCTCGCTTGAGGAGCCGACATCCTTTGCAAAGCGGATCCACCGCATGATCTCGTAAGTGACTTGTCCTTCCTACGGGCTGAATTATGACTAACAAGTTCCCTGATTAATTCAAGACTTGGCCTTGACGTTGACGAGGAAGAGGAGACAGCGCCTGCTCCCGAGGAGGTGGCTCCTGCCGAGGCAGAAGGCGCCTCTACGTCCGCAATGGAGGAGATCGACTAGAATTGCACGGACTTTTTAGCAAAGGGCTCTGAAGTAAAATCGTTTGCCTGTGTATTACGCTCTCACATTCACTCTCCTTCATAATTTGTCTACTGCATCATCATAGCTATTCCACAAAAGTGCATTTTTTCTTTCTCCAGCCGTCTACTTCTGGCACCGTGAGCGCTGTCTCGAATGGTTGTAATATGATGGCCCATTGATGGGTGCCACGGCCACACAACCCAGTATGGGAGTGAAAGCGGCGCAAGGTACGAGGAACAATCATTGTCCCGATGCCGTTGTCATTAGCGGTGGTTTTCACCGACAGCCGTTGAAGGCAGTCTCCGCACCGAACGACGTGGCTTACGTCCCCTCTACTTCCTCTCATCAATGGTACTTGTTCATCCCCCCATGTTTGGATACAAGGGTGCCTGCCACGTCTTAACTGCCACGAATGCCACGGACGTGATCCCATCGACTCATGTTGCATAGCCCAGTTCAGATGAGTCCGCGTGCGATCCTCGTGTTTTGTCCTTGGCAAATCGCAAAACCCGGCTCGCAATTTTCACATGTGGGCGTTCGTAAATAACGCACGGGAGTCATTGTCTGCCATTGTTCGCAGCCTTCTAAAGAAGGCGAATAATAGGGTTACTCGGGCGACGCTGTAAAACGAGGCTCAGAGGCGCGCCATTGTTCGCTATATTTGTTATGATTTGTCAGCAAAACAGGCGGCGGCAACGTGCTCCGTTTTTGACACGCGGTATCTTACTCTCCCCCATTGTCCGCTCCCTCTCCATATAACTCCAGTCCCTCCTTTCCTACCTTTTTCCTTTCGTCCCTGTACGCCTGCTCGTGAAGGCCGACTTTATCAACACCTTTTTGACTGCCGTCATCCATCCCCAATTCTCCTCGACAAAGCAAGATCTCACAATGCCCCCGATCCCCATTATCGCACCCCAGCCTCGCCGTTTACTCCCGCAACCGACGATTATTGACACGTCGACCCCAGTGTTGCCCATCAACCTCGACGATCCGTTCATCGTGAGCGTTTCGTTTTGTTACGCCTTGCCTTATCTGAGGGCTCATATCTTCTCCTTACGCAGTGCCATACACCGGCCCCCAAGAATGCTCAACTTCCTCGCCTCATGTCCCCCATCCGTCTTCACCATCGAACCAAGCGCTCACTTGTTTGTTTTCCTTTTATCCGGCCGTTTCGTGCTTTCCGTTGATTTCACTCTTACTTTTTTTTTTTTAAAAGGCATCGCAGTCTCCGACACCTTGTAGCTCCATCAAACGACAAGTGGGTTGTCCCCCACGTACCCCCCGCCGTCGACGGCACAATATTCGCCCGGAAGCTATCATTGCACCCCGTGTGATTAACTTCGATTCGCTTCCCTGGATTTCCGCTCTGGATGACCCCGTCCTTACGGCAGGAAACCCCTGGGACTCCGATCTCTCAGAACTTGCATCTGCGGAATATATGCGTGCTTCCGGTCTTGGGCCGGTTCGGCGGCGCAAGTCTATCTCCTCAAGAGATCGGACAGAGCCCATTGTGCCACTCGTCTCACCGCCACCGAGTGCACCGTCAACGCCCCCACCGCGGTTCCCGTCACCGTCACGAGTTCAGTTCGTTGGCCTAATGCCAATTATGACGCCTGCCTGGGAAGGAACGCGGTGACATGGATAGCGTAGTCACATTGCGTCGCCCCACTTAGAAAGTCCCTTTTACCTTTCATCACGTCACCATTCCCTTTTTCATCAACGGACCCTCCCCATCATCATCCTCGCAATCCGGATTTACCCGTGCCTCTTTCCTGCAAGTCAGCATCATCCACTGTGACCCTATTCATCGCATATATATTTCACCATCTTTTCACATTTCATTCATTCTCATCTCACTTTTTTCGACCGTTCAAATGACCGTACTTGATCGTACGACGTTCATTCACCTTTGTGCCGTTCGTCGTTTGTACGTCCAGTCTGTGACGGTAATATTTTATTCGTGCATTGTGTCGACCAGGTTCCGCTGCACGTCATCACTCTTTCTTCTTCAACTGCATCTATCTATGATGTTCCGAGTTTTCTCCCCCTCATCGACAGTTTCCTTATAACGTGTACACGTATCAATGCCATTCTGCCTTTACGTATTCCTGTACAAGTTGCTCCTATACAGTGTGCAATACAGTGTTGTGATCAACGGTTTGATAATAATGTATCAAGGCTTTTTTTTTTGGCGTTCCCACCTACAGGACCAAATCGTCGAGAAAAATATATGTGCCAAATTTATGAGACCTTGGCGGGTGGGAACGAGGAAAAGAATTTCACCTGATATAACTCTGATATCGCAATTTTGGCTCTGCACAATTCACACATGTGAACAGGGCGAAAATATTCACAAAAATTGAACTGCCCCAGTGAGGCTCGAACTCACGACCTTCCGATAAGCTTCCCGATATGGGATAACAGTCGGACGCTGTAACCAACTCAGCCATGGGGCACGTATTAAGCCCTACATTCGTAACATGTAATAGCTCGCATCCTGCCTGAGAGTAGTCTGATGAGCACTTGCTCATGTTCTTTTCCTTGTCTAACTAGCCTACTGTACGCCAAAACACAATATTTATGCCGATACCTGAGAATTCGCTTCGGACACGAATTTCTCCATGAACTGAACGAGTATGTCTGCGTTAGCTTCTGTAACGGCATTATAAAGGGATACGCGGATGCCTGTTTAACACAATGAGATTTATGACAGCCGCTCAGGTTGCGCAAGAACGGCATGTACATACCTCCGACCGACCTATTGCCATCGAGACAGTAACACGAAATGTCAAAATGTCTTCCAAGACATGTATGCTAGCGAACGTCTCACCGGTGACCCTTTAAGCCCTTCATACCCGCCTTCTCTGCGCCCGCAAGGAAACGTGCCTCTGCGCCATCTCCTAGTATATTGAAGACGATATTCATCCAGCTACCTGATCCTGATTGCACCTTGCCTTGGAACACCCCAACCTCCTCGCCGGCCCTTATAGCGGCGTATACCTTTTCTGCCTTTCTCCTGTTGAGTGCCTCATAGTACGCGATGCCGCCCAGTTCCTTCATATACTCGAGGACGAGCCCGGTGATGTAGATGGAGAGCATCGACGGGGTATTGTGCAGGCTCTTGCTCTGCGCGAGCGTTGTGTACGACAGACACAGTGGAACGGGTATCGCGCCGAGCTTGGCTGCCGCGTCGACGTCGACGAGACAATCCTGACGCACGATGAGGATCGTCAGGCCCGCGGGGCCGACATTCTTCTGCGCGCCGGCAAAAATGACGGCATGCTCGCCGAGATGCGGGATCGGGCGGGACATGAACGACGACGAATGGTCGCCGACGAGCGGAAGGAGGCCGCCGCGCTCGCGCGGGAGGAGCGCGAAGGGGAAAGACGTCGGTGCGGTGGGGTCTGGCGAGAACTGGACGCCGTCGATCGTCTCGTTCTCGCAGTAGTATATGAGCGCGGGGGCGCGTGAGAACGCATACTCGCCGTGCAGCGGCACGTTGTCGAACGAGACGTTGTCCTTCGAATATTTGCGGGCATCGACCGCAACCCGTGCGCGGGCACCGCCGAGTCGTTTGGCCTCGTCGAAGGCTTTTTTTCCCCACGAGCCGGTGAGGACGTAGTCCATCGTGCGCTCATCGTCAGCGAGATCCGGAAAGAGTAGCCGGTGGCGCGATAGGAGGTTCAGCACGACGGCGGAGAATTGAGCGGTCCCGCCACCTTGCGTGAAGAGGATAGAGTGTGTTGGAGGGACTTCGAGCTGGGTCCTGATGTGAGATTCGGCGTTGCTGAGAAATGCGACGAACTCCTTGGAGCGGTGTGAGAGCTCGGCGATGCCGATGCCCGTATCATTGAAGTTGAGTAGTCCCTGAGCGGCTTTCTTGAGTACGGGCTGGGGAAGGGCGGAGGGACCTGCTCCAAAGTTGATCACCCGGGAGGTTGCCATCGTTGACTCGAGCAAAGTTTCAAGATGAAATTGAATTAACTTGGCAACCGCGATGGTTAAGAAAGCGAGCAATAAGAGACTTGTCGCCCAGGCTCCGAGTCCCGCTCCCAAAGCGATCCCTTTCCCCAGACTTTCAGAGAAGAGTCACATCCGGTGTCATACATTTCTGGAGGATCAGATCTTACTGCTAAGCGTGCGCCTCTATCTGCATGTCACTCGACCATGTACCAATTCATCGCGTAGGATGTGCTGACTCCATCAGAATGCCGAACTTTTGTCGACTTTATTGACTCCCAACCTCTGGAATTGACTCCACCCAAAAAACGAGGGGAGGCAGATAGAGTCAATTGTAAGCATTTACGCCCTCACCCCCGTTGGCAGTAAACGCCCAAGCTTAGCGTCGTCCTAGACAGGATCTCCATTTCTTCCCCTGAATTTGCAGGTCGACTATGGACCATACTGCATCCCCATCTACCATCGTTTCCATACCCCGCCTCGATGAAGCAGCCAGATTTGAGTGCTCGCGCAGCCCATTCACTGAACTCAAACATTCGATTGTACAAATACACACCGTCGCAGCATTTTAACCCTCACTATGACGATTCCACACGCGATGCGAAGACCGGTGCCGTCTCGGAATGGACTCTACTCATATACCTCACCGGTGTCGAGGATGCTGTGCAGGGCGGGGAGGTACGTATGATACGATCTGTCGGGGACCTTTTCTCAGTGCTTTCAGACCATCTTCTATCCCAATAGCAAAGCTAAAGCCTCGGAATCCTTGGTGGCACCTTTAACACGAGGCACAGCCCTTCTTCATAGGTCAGCGAAGACAGATACGCTTACGACAGAGGCTAACGTCTTCTCCTAGACATGGCAACGAGTGTCTCCTCCACGAGGGCTCTCAGGTTCGAAATGGTACTAAATACGTCCTCCGTTCGGATGTCATGTTTTTGAATTAGGATGCAGCCACGGGAGTAGACGAGACGATAGGAAGGACAACAAAGAGGCTATCTTTTGCTCTTTTTCCACCTCTTCCCCTTTCTCCGCTTCCGATGTCCCCTGTAACTGTCACCCCCACATATGCAGGGCGGTGCACTCCCCTCAGCTCACCAGCACACTCCCAGCGTGCGATCTCTCCACCCACCGCTCTCACGCGATACTGCGTTAATAACTCGATATTTGTACTTCTGTGGTCCTGTGCAAGTCACCGGCATCACTCAGATATCGACTTTGCCCTAATTTGCGAGAATACCGGGGGCGAGTACTCCGGTCTTGAACATCAGTGTTATTCTGGCATCGTTGAACCCTTAAAAGTATCCACACGTGCCAAGGCAGAGCGCATTTCCTGCAGTGCTTTCGATTTCACTCTTAGGAATGGCTGCAAGGTACGCAGCAACCGTCAGTTACCGTCGTCAGGTGCATTCTGCTCCTCGTCGGTGAGGATGAGCGGGGTGATTTCATGCCTTATTTTGTACGGTGAGCACTCGGAGTCAAGCTCCTATGAAAGAGCTTTCTGTAATCCTGCATTTTAGATGAACATATAGACGAACTACTACTTCACGCCCGAGTTGATCCGAGTTGATATACGGTATCATTCAGAAAGTGACTTGTGCGCATGAGTGTCACACACGAGGAGCACCTTCATAGGCCCTTCAAGGGGTATCTCCTCTCCACTGTCGGGTGGTCCGCCATAGGCAACTTTTACCCTCTTGAGCGGGAGGAGGAGGCCACAATGCTCGCGCGGCAGAAGCGCGAAGAGGAAGGATGGCGCGGTGGGGTCCGGCAAGAACTGGACGCCATCGATCGTCTCGTTCTCGCAGTAGTAGATGAGCGCGCGAGAGAGAACGCGTACTCGCCATGCAGCGGCACGTTGTCCTACAAGTATTTGCGTGCGTCGACCGCAACCCTTGCACGGACGCCACTGAGGCGTTTGGCCTCGTCGAGGGCCCTTTGCTCCATGAGCCGGTGAGGACGTAGCCCATCGTACGCTCATCGTCGGTGAGATCCGGAAAGAGTGGCCTGTGCGCGCGCGAGGAGGTTCAGCACGACGGCGGAGAACTGAGCGGCCCCGCCACCTTGCTTGGCGTGTTGGACAGTAGGAGGGACGTCCAACTGGGTCCCGATGGCCTGATGAGAGATTCGGCGTTGGAGGGAAACGCTACGAACTCATTGGAGCGATGTGAGTGCTTGACGCCGATGCCTGTATCAAGTTGAGTACTCCCTTCCTTGAGTACAGACTGAAGAAGGGCGGAGACTCGGGAGGTTGCCATCAGCAAAGTTCCAAGAAGAATGGTAAAGAGAAAGCGAGCAATATGAGACTTGTTTCCCGGGCTCAGAAATTACTGTAAATTGAATCCCAAAGCGATCACATCGCCATTCATTAATAGGGTAGGAGGGTAGATTGTGGGCTTGATTATAGACACTTTTCGCACTAATCAGTGCAATCACGCAGCGCCCCTATCAGTCCCTAATCTTGTTAGCCCTACAACTCCATTTCTTGCCCCCTAATCACTTCTCATGTCTTGATGTTAAGCCCACAGCGGGGCTTTGTGCACACTTGACAGTTTTAGGAAGGTGTGCAGTCCGAGGTGTGCCGAGGCACGTGATTCAGACTCCTGAGATGTGCGTTGATTGTTATAGCACAATCACTAAGCTTTGAAGGCAAGGTCCGCCTTTAAGGACCTTTTAGAGTATAAATGGAAGAGTAGAGGGGAGCCGTGCAGTGAACAGGAGTGAACAAGAGGCTGCGATTGCAATGCAAAGTCGAGCTTAAGGCTCAACTGTTTGTAGAGAGTTGTATATATACAAGTTCGAACCAGTATGACTAATAGTCCTAAAACCGGTTGCTAAGCCGGTTTGTAAGTGATCAGTCATCTACCTATCATACACTGTCAGCATGATGCGCGTATCAATAATCGAGCCAGAGTCATCAGTCAGTGGTACAGTGTGAGTCTCAGTCATCCAGTCTTTAGATGAGTCAGGGGCATAGTCGTAATGAGTCATGGGGTCGCATGACCCCAGCCAGTCCGTCGGTCCGTAGAACACCTCACCTCTCTCTGTACCAGAGGCAGAGCTTATCACCACCCTCCCCTCAAAGGAGCGCTTCCACGCGCTAATCTGATCCCTTGTTGTTGCCGGGGACATAATCATAATCAGGGGATGGTGAGCGGGGGGCGTAGGAAGGGCCGGCGCCATTGACTTTGTCTTGCACGACTTGTTCGATGGCGTGCCTCAGGATGATGCCGGTGCGACTCAATTCTCCCTTGCAGAAATCGTTGCATCCCGCTTCGAGATGGTCGTATTCGATCTGACGATCCTCGAGGGAGAGTTGCCAAGCTGTTCGTTGGCATGTAAGATAGTGGCCGTTGGCGTGCTTACACCGTCCTCCATAGGGGCAGGTGTTTGGCATTTGGTTGGCGAAGTATCGGTGGTGGCAGGGCACGTGGCACCATCCAAAAGTGCAAGTTGAGCAAAGGTGGTGGGGCGTTTTGCAGTGAGTGGAGATATG